CTTGAAATAGGACAGAGGACTCAGCAAGCTAAGGTTTATTACTATTGCTTTATTAAAAGCATTTAGATACTCTGCAGAGGACAATTGTCCAACTGAGAGAGTATATAGCAGTCTTCCTTGAGGTTAAAACACAAACATGTGCTTCCTTTCCAAAAGAGAATAATGAGACATACAAATTATTTTTGCTGGGTTAGGTGGGATTCCAATTGCTAACACTAGATAGAAACTCATTTCTAAGCATTTTTCCTATTTTTTTTCTTTTAATTGAAAAGTTCTCGGATGTGGTTTCATAGTGTAGCAGTTAGCACATCTGCTTTACACGTAGAAGGTCCTGTGTTCACATCCCAGTGGAGCCACAGTCCAAGATTTATGGCCTTGCCACCCTGAACAAGCCCGATGTCTTTCTCAGAAACTAAGCAGGGTCTGGCCTGGTTAGTACTTGGATGGGAGACCACCTAGGAAGACCAGGTGCTGTAGGTATAAATAATAATAATAAAGAAAGAAAGAAAGAAAAGTTCTCTTCCTTCCTTTTTACCTTCCTTGTTTTGAAGAGATTTTAAGGCCAATTAAAAAAAAAGCTGTACCATGACATGATTAAAAAAAAAAAGGAAGTGAGGAGATTAAGATACTTCAATATAGAACAGAATATATAAAGTATGTTATAAATAACACTTATATACATATATTCATAAACATGAATCAGAGATATTCCTCTGATTAATTCATCCTGTCCCTTCTTCTTATCGTCCCTCCCCTTTCTGTCCTCTAACTTTAGTTGTCTTTGCCATCTTTCTCCTGAGCTTTCCCGTTTTTGTCTTTTGCTATAGTTTATTTTCCCATTGACTTTTTATTTTGAAAAATTTCAAACCTTTACTAAATTTATATGAATAGTATAATAAACACTCACGTATCATTCATTTAGGTTAACCAATTGCTGTTATCTCTCTTTTTGTATAGGTGTGTTTATATATAATATATAATGTATTATACATATATTATACATAATGTATAAAATAGACAACTTATGAAATGTTATATAATTATGTATTTATATAAATTTACTTTATCTCACTGGATACCTTTCATATATTATATATATATACATATACATACATACATATATATGTATACACACACACATCTATACAGGAAGAAAACAACTGGTGAATCTATGTTTATTATAATATTTTTATTTTTTAAGTTTTGCCAGGATGTCAGAAAGAACCTTTATTACTTTTATAATAGTCTCTTCTGCTCTTATGCTTTCTTCCCAGATGCCTTTGGAGATAGAGTTTGATGACCTTTCTGAGCTTTTGGAAATGCTGCCTTTTGGCTGGCAGCTTTCTGTGCAGAAACTTTTGGGGCTGGAGCCTTCTTGCCTGCAGCAGTCATCTTTTTTGTTGGAAACTTTGCAGCAGCTACTGCAGCTGCACCTTTAATAGCAGGTGCTTTTTTGGGAGAAGCTTTTAGGAGAGCTGCCTTTTCAAGCTTAATTACTTGGTTCCTCGTTTTCTTTGTCTTCATGACTTTGTAATGATCAAAATCCGTCACCTTGGCTTTCTTTTCTCTGGCTTCAATCTTCTTGACTCATCTTGTGGCTGCCCATTTTGTATCGGTGTCTGTCATCTGGCAGACTTGTCAAAAATACCTCTGACGGGCACTGTGTGGGAACTTGAGGATGAAGTCAGTGATCAGCATGCATTTGAAAGGCATAGTCTGTTTCCTTACTTGAGTCCAAGGTCCATCAACCAAAGCTTAGTTCTGATCAATAACATCTATAATTGTGACCTCCACTGACCTCCATGAAGTGCCTGAACAATATGTTGGCAGTGTTCCACCAGAAGGAAGGTCAGCCTAACTGTGCCCATTTTATTATATTATTTTTGGAAATTTCCTCAAGGTTTAAAATTTTTCAATAAAACATATGTAACATGTAATGTAAATAATATATACACATATAAAATATTTATACACACATGTAAGTTTATGTTTGTGGTTTAGCAGAGTTAGTTGTAGATATCATAATACTTCACTCCTAGATACTTTAGCTTGAATTTGCTAATGTGGACATGGACATTCTCTTACAAAACCACAATCACAGTCTGGAAATTTGACCTTGATATTATCTAATTAATAGTCTATTTTCAAATTACTCCAATCATTTCAATAATATCCTTTATAGCTGTTCCTTTTCCCTCTCCACATTGCATTTAACTATAGTGTCTCTTAACAGTTCATAACAGTTCCTCAGCATTTTTATATAAGTATTTGCCTGTCTCCATGTTTATATTTTTGAAGAGTCCAGGCCATTTGTTTTGGAAAATATTCCTCAGTTTGGGTTTATCTCAGTGTTCCTCCAGTGATTCTTCTGCTTTCAGTCTTTCTCCTTACCAGTTCATTTTCCACACTGTTACTAGAGTTAGTTTTTTTTTTTTTTTTTTAATATGACTGATATTCCCTTGCTTAAAAGTACTTGATGGTTTCTTATCACTGGGTAAACCAAATTTCTTAGCATACCTTTCAAAGCTTTTTAGTTTAGCTCTTCTGGCCGTTTGCAGCCTTATCTCTTCTAGCGATTAGCAGTTTATACTCCAGATATTGTTCTCCAAGTCAATTTATATGTCCTTCAAGACTCTATTAATTTTTCTCACAGATATTGTTGAGTGCTTATAATCCACCATGTACTGTGGTAGGTGCTAGGATACAGTTCTAAACAAGACAACATAGTCTCTGTCCTTACGGAATTTATACTGGCTGAAATGTCATCTCTACTGGGCTTCGATAGCACTTTATGTGTATTATGGGCCTGTTGAGTTGGCTCCGACTCCTGGCAACCCCATGAATGAGTGATGTCCACAATGTCCTGTTCTCAGAAGCCCTGATCAGCTCCTATAGACTCATGTCTATGGGTTTGTTTTTTTTTTTTATTTAGAGTCAATCCTGCTCATATTTTGTCTTCTGTTCCTGTTGACTTCTATTTTTCCCAGCATTATTCTTTTTCAAAAAACCCACCTTCTCATGATGTGCCTGAAATAGGACCATTTCATGGACCACTTCAGTTTTGTCATTTTTGTCTCTAGTGATGTTTCAGGCTTAATTTGCTCTAGAATCCTTATTTTTGTTTGCATGTTTGTCACTCAGAAGGATTATGAGCTTTTTAAGGATTAGGATAAATTTTATTCATTTTCGTTTCCCCAGGACCTAGAGTGTAGTGGGCACTAAATAATGTTTCATTCAATAAATGATTGAAAGAAATCATTCCTGTTAAGTGTTAGCTAGCAAGTGTTCTCTCTTTTAGTTTAATTGTATTGTTATGCTTTAATACGATTACATTCTGGAAAACCTCTTAGTGAGGGGAATTTTAGATTCTTCAAATTATACCACACCCTTATATGGTTAAAAGATAGGTCCAAAAATATTTCCAGTAGGAAGATACAATAAATAATAAAGAGCTACATTCTACTGCAGGAGTTGGCAATGTCGCTTCTATTAAAACTCCACCGTGTGATATGAAAAGTGCTTTTAGTCAGGGGACACCTCCCAAGCTGTGGTAACAACGGAAATGACAATTGCATTGCATTACTGTCTTCCTAAAACATATTTTATGGAGGTTTCTTACACTTTCAAATGAACAGCTTTCAGTCAATTAATCAATTTCCATTACCAGTTCAATTGATTCCATAGGGCTATTTCTGGTACTTGCTTATATTTAATCTTATGTTTTATGCTGTACGATATTCTTTTTTAGTTCCTGGCTTTTTTTTTCTTTTTTCCTAAAGAAATTGCAGCTCCCTAAAGCCTAGTCCAACACAGTATTAGGCACATAGTAAACAGGGCACATTTCTAAAACTGACACTCTCCAGAACGTCAGACGATATTAAGACTATATTAAAGTACTCCCTTTCAAGAAATGTATATTCCCGCACTTTAATGTGCGCATAAGAATCACTGCGGGATCTGCTAAAATGCATATTCTGATTCAGTAGATCTGGGTAGAGCCCAATAATTTGCATTTTAACAAGCGTCCAAAGTGATGCAGATTCCTTGGTCCACGGACCGCACGCTAAGTAGCAGAGATGTAAAGGATTGTGCAAAAGGAAGGCAGATACTTCGCTCCAAAACATATTTTGCAGACTGTTAATTAAATAGAAGTATGATTAGGGTGGAACCAGACCGACCACTTCTTACCCAGCCTCAAACCTCCTTTTTCCGCTGAGTCCAGCCAAAATCCCCACCTTCGTAAACAGTTCAAGAACACGAGCAGCATCAGGCCCAGCTACGGAAGACGCGAGCCCGGGTAACAAAGCAAGATACCCCTGCACTTACTAGTCTAAGAGCCCAGGGATTAGATGTCGTCCAGGCAGTGGCCTCACCCTCGCCATGAAGAAAAATTCAAAATTAAAACCTTATCGTAGAGGGACCAATCGTAGCCATGGTCTGTCCACGATTCGCTCTCTCTATAGCGTAGCAGCACAGACTGGCTTGCGATTGGCTGAGACAACATCAGGCTCCGACCAATCAGAGCTGAGGAGCTTCTTGAATGAATTAGGGGAAGGCGGGAGCGAAGGGGAAGCAGGAGAGGAAAGAAGGTGTGTCACTTCCCCTAAGCTGTTTGTGGAAGCCTTTGTGTAATTGGGTCGTTCTTCTTCCAATTGCACCAATCGTAATCTTCTCTGTTGAGCCCTAACTATGAAATTGAAAGTAGAGATGAAGGTTACAGCCAATGGAGAAAAAAAGGTTACAGCAGCCAATCCTCCTGCGGCGTTTTGTGTCTTTGCCCAACAGGAAAAGATGTTTTATGCGGAGGGGCGTTACCCAGTCGCCAATGGGCGGGCCCCCATGAAGTGGAGGAGCCAATGAGTGCAAGACGTTGAGTGACAGCTGTCCAATAGGGACACTCAGTGCTAGTATGGTTTGCGGCTTAAGCGCCGCCGCGGTCTGAGGAATGTCAACTATTCAACATGGAGGAGGAGGTCGATAAGCTGGAATTGATGGTGAGTGTAAAGTGAAGGAGATCTACTGGGTAGTTTATTTTCCCTCCATGGCCTCCAAAGTGGGACGCAGTTTGGAGCCGCCAGAAACCCTGGGTGGCGGAGGCTGGACCAGACTCGACTTCCCTCCTTCTGCACCAAAGGGAGTTGCCACCGCCTGGTTTATTAACCGCCGCGGGTAAGGGGTTACATCCGGGAAACTCGTGAGGGAAATGGCGGGAGATGCTGAGGATGTGGGGCCTTTGGAATTCCTTGTTCCTTGCCCTCACCTCTCCGCTCCTCTAGGAGCTGTGGCTGGTGCCGACATTTGTATTTCCACCAAAAATACGTGACTGGAATGGTCCCAAAACGCCTTAAGGGGAGAGGTCATTAACACTCCAAGAAGGAATGTTGGGTGGGGTGGGGTTAAACCGAATGGGGCGGAGAGAAATCCCTTTAGGGCTGAATGTTTCGCATCATTCAAGGCACGCTAAAAAAAAATCTGAGAAAGGATGCTAGACTTGCATGCACGGCTTCCCAGCTGCCAACGAAGCCCCTAAACCAGTTTCTTTGGCTCGAAGGTGGCAGGCAGTCCTTGGGTGGGGAAGCGAGCGATGGGCATCTGAATCACGAGCTCCTTTCCTGGATTGGGACAAGGAGGGCGCCCGGCTCTCGAGATGCATAGTTTCATTCATTTGTGAAAGTAGGGGGCGGGGGCGAATAATTGGAAAGGACTCCTTCTGCTGCTTGGCCTCCTCGAAGGCGCCAAGCTGGAAAGCTGTCCTAGTTTTCTTCTATGGATTCTTACTCACTTGTTCTTTTTATTCCATCCATCCCTAGACGACCAGCTTAATCGCCCGCGCTTTTTTCTTCTTAGCTTCCTTGTTTTATCTTAAGTCCTTTCTCCTCTTGTGCATTTAATCTTAGGTTTTACATAAAACTTGTGCATTACCACACGTTTTGGGGATTGGACTGACTTCCTTTAAAATGTGGAATTTGGAGGACGCACCTATCATTGAGCCTTTTTGTTTGTTTGTTTGTTATAAAGATGATTAAGCAAAGAAGCCAAAATCTTTACCCGCAGCCCGCCCCTCCTGCCATTCTCTGGCATTACTCCTTAGGTATCATTTGTGCCTGTGTTGCTTTCTCCAAGCTGAATCTTCTGTTACTTAACATCTGCACGTGTAGTGATCCTGGAAGAAATTGAGTACCATACTCGCTCCAATTCCCATCCCCAGAAAATGTGAGACCTTGATATGACTTACTTTTTTCCGATGTATTAATGAATTGTAGTGCCTATCATATACAAATTCGATTTGAAGGCTTTCAGTTGCTTCTAAGGTTTTAAGTTTTAATGTTCTTTGGTAGGGGTAGGGGTGGGGGCTTTGGAGATAGGGAAGGAGAGAAATGACAGAGAAGAAAGAATTTTCTGCAGCGTTCCAAACCTGTGATGATAAACTTTTAATTCAAAGTTTTGTTCTTCATATCATTAATTGTCTTTTTTTTAGAAAACATGTTAACTATTGTAGTTCTATAATATTAACACCATCTGGCCCTTCTTTCTCATTCTTAATTCTTCCTCCAGATCTATATTTCCGCCTAATTGTAAGATGCTAAATGATACTAATTTTGCTTTTAACAGCCTCTACCCCCACAAGTTGGCCGTTTAGTTTTGAGGTATCAATTAAGCCTTTTCTGGACTTTGCAATAGAGTCAGTATTCTCACAGGACTTCTTTTTTATTAGATTGGACACATTTTATTTTAAGGGGAAAACGATTAAGTGTCATCTTGTAAAAAGCAGGTTTTAGAAAATTATGAGGTAGCCCGACTTAAACTTTTCGATATTTGAATGATGGGATAGTTTTAAAAAAATTCTTTTTGAGAGGAAGAGATGAAAACAGGTCTTTTTAAATTCCTTTTAAGTAACCTAGTAGTAGCTTTCATTTTTCTCTTCAAATTAATAGTTTGTTCCCATAATCATTAGGGTTTTAAAAAGGTATTTGAACTATCATCATAGTTTTATTATTACTGCTTTGTATTGATTGGGCAGTAAAAGATGGTATATCTCATCTTCAAATTTGCTATGCTTTTATAAAAAAATGTATCCGAACTAGTTTAGTTTCTGAGATTCTAAAAGTAAATAATTTCCTGTATAATCCCCTGATTTTAGTTGAAATATTGTAATAGCTGAGTTATGTGGCCCATGATTTGAGATCAAGACGTTCATGTTCCAGCTGTACTGAATTTGAGTTCATTTCTTAGTAGGCTCAATTCAACTAAATACTTGAACTGGACCATTTAAAGGAAAGTTAGTGAAAATAATGGAAAGTGTTTTTGCATCGATCAACATTATTAATGGAGGAATAAGCTCATTGTAGGGCAATCTTTGTTCTCTAACCTTTTTTCCTTCACTTAGTGAGTAGTGTTGTCTCATGTCCTTCCTTTGTGATACCACTAGTGATTACTCACAAAAGGTAGTGCAATGTGATATTCTATAATACTATTTCTATTTCTTGGTTTACATCTGACTTTTGAACAGATTCTTAACCAGTTAAAACGTTAGGATGTCGGTTGACTTGAGTTCAAGGAAACCTGCTACTTAAATCTTGGACCCTCTCCCCCTTCTACCATTATCACATTATTTTTCCATTTGATTTTTCTAAGTTTGAGGGAAATGGAGATGATCTCTTCCTATATTTAAGATGTTTTAGGGATTAACTGAAAAGTTAAAATCCCTTTCCATAATATTCAGTTAGGTAGGACTAATGGTGTCATGTTTAGGACACATTGATCTTTGGATATCTGTAAACTCTTGAGATAAAAAGCCTTAAGATAGTAAGTGCTTTTTGTATTGCAGTTTAGATTCCAGAGAGATAGGTTGGGTATGTAGATGTTAGGAAACTTATTACTTTACTTTTCATTTGTTGCCTTTGACATTCTTACTCAAAAGATTTGTTTTACATGGCAGTTAATAAAACGCTGTGGAGGAGCTAACCAATATAGCTCAGCAGAATGGAAATATTTTTCAAACTTTGTTTTAGTAGTAATCACAGCCAGTTTTGTTAATATCAGCCCTAAGGTATTAACAATATCCATGTTAATAACTTGTAAAGCTAGGATAGATTTATAAAATTTCTTTCTACACCTATACATGTTTCTGTTTGGATATTAATCATAGGTTAGTCATCAAAAACCAATATCACTTTGATATTTAAGTTTTTTTTAAAAAAACATTGCTATAAATGTTCTTAGGGTTTGGATGTCTCCTGTCCAAAATGACAATTCTTTAAATTCTTTATGCACTCAAGCTTCAACTGATGCAAGATGCTTTTGTGTTCCTTTCCTACCTATTACTGCTAACGAATGCTCTGACTTTATTGCACTACTGTACTTTACAGCTAGCAGTGCAATAGTATTGTCAAAGCATCTGAAAGCAGGATGCACACCGAATCTTGATTCTTGCTTTACATCTTTCTTCAGTATCTGAGTACTTTACTATAAACTTTGTTGCAAAAAACTGTATAATTTCATTTATAAATGTGTATGTTTTAGAAAGGCATAATTTGAAAAAAAAAGTTTTTAACTAATTAAAAACTCACTATTGTAATGCATTCTGAAACATTAAGAGAATAATTTTTATAATTTAAGTTGTTATGGCTTGTCTAAATGAATAGTACTATATAATTTGTTTCTTTAACAGAGTGGGATAGGCTCTGGCAAATCTCAGGTTTTACTTAATTGAATTTTAAGATGAATTAGTAAGTGATGAAAACAACGTTTGCTGTATATTTCCTATGGTTACTTGCCCCATATCTTAGTCTGTATATTGTGCAGTAAAAGCTTGAATTTAAAACTTAAGAATGCTTGTTTTAAAGTTCTTTTTTGTAATTATGAGACAAAATAAAGTATGAATCCACCTCTATTTTTTATCAGTTTTATTGAGATATGGTTTATGTACAGTAAAACTCACCAATTTTAGGTGTAAAATTTGATGAGTTTTGACAAATGTTTACAGTTATATGACCACTATCACAGCCATGATATAGAACATTTCTACCTTAAAAAGTTCCCTTAGTCTATGGCCATGCCACCCTGAATGTGCCCGATCTTGTCTGAATGTGCCCGATCTCGTCTGACCTCGAAAACTAAGCAGGGTTGGGCTTGGTTAGTATGGGGATGGGAGACCACCTAGGAATACCAGGTGCTGTAGGTGTTAAAAAAAAAAAAAAGTTCCCCTGTGCCCTTTTGCTGTCAACCTCTTCCTCTTAAACTCGCTGGCAATCACTGTCCTCTAGTTTTGCCTTTTCATGTAAATGGGATTATATACAACATGCAGTCTTTGTATCTGGCTTCTTGCACTTAGCATAATGCTTTTGATTCATCCATGTTGTAAGTAATAGTAGTTATATAGGTTATCATAAATCGTTTATCCATTCATCAGATTATGAAATCTGGGTTGTTTCCAGCTTTTGCCTATTATGAATAAAGTTGTTGTAAACATTATAGTACAAATCTTTATGTGTGGACATGATATTTTAATTTCTCTTGGATAGCAGGATAAATAAATGTATGCTTGATCTTATAAGAAACTGCTAAAATCTTTTCTAAAGATTAGGCTTTCAGTTTCTCCACATCCTTACCAACACCTTATATTGCCAGTCTTCCTCACTTTAGCCATTCTCATAGGTGTGTAGTAATATCTTATAGTTTCAATTTGCATTTCCTTAATGGCTAATGATATTGAATATCTTTTCACTTGCTTACAGGCAGTTGATATATCTTTAGTGAAGTGTCAAAATCTTTTGTTTATTTTTAAATTGAGTTGTTTGTCTTTTTTATTACTACATTATAAGTCCTTTAATTTTCTCTGTTATTTGCCTTCTCACTTAAAATTTTTGGATGAAGTCCAATTTATACATTTTATTCTTTTATGGTTTATGCTTTCTGTATTCTACCTAAGAAATCTTTGCCTAATTCAAGTCACAAATACTTTCTATGTTTTCCTCTAGAAGATTTATAGTTTCAGTTTTTATATTTAGATCTCTGTCCATTTTGAGTTAATTTTTGTATATGGTATCAAGTAAGTGTGGAGGGTCTTTTTGTACATGGACATCCTCTTGTTCTGGCACCATTTGTTGAAAAGAGTATCATTTCCCTAGTGAATTTTTTGGCTCCTTTGTAACAAATCAATTAAGTATGTATGTATGGGTAGGTTTATTTATTTTTGAACTCTACTTTGTTTTGTTATGTCATCATACTGTAATAATTACTGTAGCTTTATAGTAAGTCTTAAAATCAACTAGTATAACACTTCCAACTTTGCTCTTGTTTTCCAAAACTTTTAAAGTACTTTACATTTCCAAAGAATTTTTTTGTCAATTTCTACAAAAAAGCCTGCTGGGATTTTGGTTGGGATTACGTTGAATCTAAAGAAAGAATTTGGGGAGAATTGATATCTTTACAATATTGAATATTCTGATGCATGAACATTATCTGTCTCTCTGTTAGGTCTTTTAAAATTTCAAGTGTTTTTGTTTAAGGCCATGCCACCCTGAACGAGCCCCATCCCGTCTGATCTCGGAAGCTAAGCAGGGTCGGGCCTGGTTAGTACTTGCATGGGAGACCACCTAGGAAGACCAGGTGCTGTAAGTGTAAAAATAAAAAATAAGGGATTGTAAGCTGACAAGGTCCTTGCAGTCTGTGAGGTCAACCAAGGGTTGCCTCACCTAAAAAAAAAAAAAAAAAATTTCAAGTGTTTTGCAGTTTTTAGTGTATAGGTCTTGTTTATAATTTTTAAATAATCCACTTAATGGATTTCTACTGGTGCTCTATATGTTAAAAGGAGAGCAAGAACAGTTATAACACATGTACTAAATTCATTAAATTTCAGAAAAAAAGTAAGCTATTTGTTAAGCAAATGTCTTTATAAAGTGGCTGGGAGAATAGATACCAGGTGGAGGTAAGATACCTGAGATGTTAGGCATAGACACAAGGACATGATTTGCAGGGAATGAAGACTGTGATTGCTCAATATAAAACTATTTATTCCAAGTTTTATATATAAAATTTTATTCTCAATTTTATATAAAATATGCTTCTGAATTACTTCCCTAGGCCTCAAGTGCAGCCGTTTTCCTCTTCTTTGGCTTTTAATTTCCTACCAATTACTAGTGGGCTATTAGAGCAGTGGGTAGAATTTTGTTTTTTAATAATGTAGAATATTAAATGGGGAGGAACTGAGGGAAGAAAACTGCTTACTTTGAGGACCTCATTCTTTTCTCTGAAAAGTGGATTGATAACAACATAATACATTTCTTTTTAGATATCACTGAATTTTCTATTAAGAACGTGTACAACCATAAAGTTTTTTGTGTAAAAGACTTTATACTACTAAAATATGAAAAAAAATGTATCAGTTGATAAGGAGAGGGAAGGTTCTTTTTTCTACCTTAAATTATATTTTGGTGTGACATCTTCAATTTTTGGAATAGGGTATGGAAAGCCATCCATATGAACTCATTTAAAAATCGAGCAGGCAATTTTGTTCTTTGGAGCAAAGTAAAAGATTTATTTTTTTAAAAAGATTTTTATTAAAATGTAGCTAACGTATAGTATTGTATTAGTTTCAGGTGTACACTATAGTTTTTCAACATTTGTAGATCTAGAGAAGTGGTCATCATGATAAGTCCGGCAACCATTGGTACCACATAATGCTATCACAATGTTATTGCCTATGTTCCTGTACTGTACATTACATCCCCACGATTTATTTATTTTATATCTGGAAGTTAGAACTCTTTTTTCCCCTTCACTATTTTTCTCCCCTTTAAAAATTTTTTCAATTAAAGTTGACATTCAATATTATATTAGTTTCAAGTATACAGCATAGCGATTAGACATTTATATAATTTATGAAATGATCCCCCTGACTCATCTAGTACTCACCTGACACTATAAATAGTTATTACCGTATTATTGACTATATTCTCTATGCCTTACATCCTCATGACTATTTTTTAACTACCAATTTGTACCTCTTAATCATTTCACCTTTTTTACCCAGCTCCCCACCCTCTTCTCATCTGGCAAACATCAGCTTGTCCTCTGCATCTATGAGTCTGTTTTGTTCGTTTATTTTGTCCTTTAGATTCCACTTCTAAGTGATATCACATGTTATTTGTCTTTCTCTGTCTGACTTATTTCACTTAGCATAATACCTTCCAGATCCATGCATGTTGTTACAAATGGTAAGATCTCAGTCTTTTTTGTGGCCAAGGAAAAGTAAAAGTTTTAAACAAACAAAAATATCTTTTTTAGCCAAACATGATACAGTTTCAATATTAAGAATATCCCAGGTAATTATATTTTAAAAGACTATACTCTTAATTTATTTTAATATATAACATTTTAAAAGTTTGAATAACTCAATCCTTGATTCTTTGATTCAGTGTTTTTGTTCTCATATTATGAATGAGGAAATAATCTTAGTTTTCGCTAAGGTTTTCATATAGTGATTTAGTGACTATAAAATTTATTTTTTCAGAACAATTTATTTTTGTTAGGAAATGTGAGAGTTTGGTAGCTTTTATGAATTTCTTCTCTCCCCACTTCATTTGCATAATTGTGGATGACAGTACTTCAAACTTTCATCAGTAAATGTTACTAGGGCAGGCTAGTACTAAAGACTAAAGATATTAAGGAACTTATCTGGGACACACAGATAAATTGAATACATTAAGAAAGATGCCATGATGGGACAAGTAAATATCAGGTGTTATGGGGACACATTGGAAAGAGGCACCTAACCTGGGGAAGGCTTCTTGTTAGAGGTGAGGTATAATCTGAGATTTGATGAGTGAGTAGGGATTAGCCAGTGTAGGAAATGGGAAATGTTTCAGGCAGAGGAAACCGTGCATGTGACAGTCCAGAGATGAGAGATGTTGATCAACTGGGAGAAACTGCAAGTGGTACAATATAGTGTTGAGATAAGGAGCAGGAGGTTTGAGACAAAGAACTAGTAAAATCAGTATTCTAGCTGTTAAATTGGAAACCTCTACCACACCATTTTTTTAATTTCAGTTATATAACATAATGATTTGATATACATATGTATTTTATTGTGAAATGATCACCACAATAAGTCTAGTTAACATCTATCATCACACATAAATTTTTTTTTTTATTGATGAGAACTTTTAAGATCTCTTCTCTTAGCAACTTTCAAGCATATAATACAGTATTAATAGCTATAGTCACCATGCTGTCTGTACATTATATCCCCAAGATTTGATTATTTTATAACTGGAAGTTTGTTTTCACTAGCTGAAAGAAATCTGAAGAGAATTTTCGCTTCCATGAAAAAGCTGTTACCATTCTAATAATGTAGGTCTTTCATAAAAGTGAAGTGATGTAGCGTGAACTTTCAGAAAGCTGGGGATATTCTTCATGCCATTTTGGCTTACTGAAAGTATACTTGTATCTACATCTTTGTCATGACTTCATGATGGGCATAGTACATATCCCTTCCTCTGAGTATGCTTTGGTCAATGACATGCGGGCAGTAAGTCACCGCGTGTTAGCTCTGAACTTGGGCCTTAAGAGACCTTGTGTATTTCTGCTTACTCTTGTGCTTCTACTCTCTCCATGAGAATATCTGCTGCTTCAAGGAAGATGAGCTATACCTCGAACAAGCTCCTACCAGGCAACCCACAGAATTGCAATGAGAAGCAGAGCCCAGCCTTAGAGCACCTGAACCTAGTCAAATTGCAGGTCCGTGAGAATAAATGATTATTATTTTTAAGTTGCTAAGTTTCTTGGCATCCTGTGCCACAATTTTAAAATATGTTGCTTTAATCTAGGCTGCCGTTTGAATTTCAAAACTTATTCTATTCATTTACTCATATGTTGGCTAATCCATTCTTAGCAGTATAGTCTCATTATAAGGTATTATCTCATAAATAAAGGAAACATTGTGTATGTCCTGATTGTTAATAAGTGACCAAGGATAAAGAATATACTCTGATTTCTCTTCAAATTGTATAATCTTTCACCTTTTACTAAAGATATGCTTCTGTGCCACTTCTCTTTCTGGCCCTAAGTTTGATAACATTGAGAAACCTCAATTTAGAGTTGCCAGACTTAGTTGATGAAAATAGAAGATGCCCAGTTTAATCTGAATTTCAGATAAACAGTATATATTTTTAGTATAAGTATGTCCAAATGTTGCATGGGACATACTTATACTAATTGTTTTCATTGTTTATCTGAGATTAAAATTTAACTGAGTGTCCTGTATTTTATGTGGCAACCCTACTTCAAATATACTGTCAGAATGCATTTTTATACAGTTACAAGTAGAATACATTAGATTATAATGCTAATACTTACTGATCAAATAATTACCAGCTATGACTTGTTTTACCTATTGTGTATGAGGAACTGTGCTGAGCAAAGTTAAATATGTAAACCAGCAAGAGAGAAACATAAATCACAAAAAATCCATATGAAGAAAAGGTACAGGGTGCTGTGTCTTTGAACAAATATAATCTTGTCTTTTATAATCTCTTAGCACATAGACAATACATACGTTTATACTGCGTGAATGAGAGGGGCTAGAAGTTACCTTTAAAAAAAGAATCTTCCCTATACCATATTTATCATGAAGACTTAGAAATCCTGATTAACAAAATAAAACATACTTAGAGATAGAACTAAAACTTTGAAGAAAACAGATTTCTTTAGCGATTTTGTTTATCTCTTGGCTAAGAATGGATTAGTCAACATATGACCTAGCACTACTGGCTTTACTAGTTTAAAAATCTTTCCTAGATACTTCTTGCTCAGACATTTAATCTTCATTTTATTTCCTGAGGTCTAACTCTTCCATTTTTTTTCATGAATTCAAATAAATTTTAAAAGGCAGTAGACAGTAACTGTCATTTACGTACCCAGCAATATGCTTGGCATTTGGGTTTCAGAAGCAATCACACTTTTTTTGAATGACAAAAAAACATTATGTCCTGGTACGTACTGTTCTTTCCATTTTTCACCCTTCATTGTTAGAAGTACAGAGATTCCGTTTATTTGGCAGTCTGCTTTGTTACCTTATCATTGACACTAAGACAGAAGCTACGTTTCTCTTAAAAAGTGATGGTCTTTTTTCTTTAGGCCATGGATCCTTAGGGAAGGTCCATCTCACCAGAAAAATGTTCATAGATACATAAAATTGCCAACTTTTAACAGGAATTTATAGATCCTTGCCCCTTACTCAGGGGCTCATGATCTGCTATTCAGAGGTTGAAGTGGTTTGAAATTAAACGACTAAACATTACTAATCTTATATCCTTTTCAGTATCTGTGCAAGCCAGAATTGCTTCCAAAGATATACTCCCTCAAAATTATACCAAGTTCTTGTTTCAAGTCTGTGCACTATTCTAATGTGTTCTTCAGTTTAGTAATGTAGCTGTCATATTTCATGTCAGTCTAATTTTATACTCTGAAGATGGTTTATCATGAGTATTTTATGTATATATATACATACAACACAATATTATTACACAATATTATTCTATATATAATACATGATATAATATTTGAGAGTCTGCTGTTTGCTAGACCCTAATAGAGATTAGTGATTTTAAAAAATAGCCTGGCATATTTGGGACAGAAACTCAGTGTCGCTGAGGTCATCTTATGAAGAATCGTACCAGAAGTTGGAATTCTACAGGCATGAAGAAACCTTAATAATCTTGAAGAGTGACTTAGTATAGAATGTAATACCTTTTTTAAAAATTGCTTTAAATGGTTATTATGTATGTAATACAGATTCATTGTAATTTAATTAGAAGATAGATAAGCAAAACACCCCCCAAAACCTGCAATTCCATGACTATTAAGACTATGTTGTATTGTAGGTATACCTTTGTTTTTTCTAAACCAGGTTCATTCAGTTATTATGAAAATCTGTCCCTGTAGTCTATTATGTGTCCACAGCACAATGAACATAGGATCCTGAAATTTTTTAAAAAGTTAAACTGATGAAACCAGTTTTTTTATAGGCAGTATCTCATCCGCACTATCCTAACAGTTGTTCCATAAAGACCTGCAAATTAGGAACTGATGAACCTGCAACTTCTTCTGCTTCAATGTTGCTATTCGCCTGAAGTGACATGTCTGGAACCTGGTGCTTGTGCATATTACTGCTTATCTGTTTCAGGCAAGCACAGACAAGCATTTGTTCTATCCGGAAGAAAGTGAGTAATAGTCAACTCTTTAGCATAAATATACCAGAAACAATCGCCATTGTATAGACATTAGAGGTGACCCTTAACTTGTTGAGAACTTGAAATATTTATTAAACTGGGCTTTAGAGGGTGGTTAGTTTCCCAGGCTGTTTGTTCTTTCAAATAAATGACTGTTCTTTCTATTCCCTTTTGTCACTGAGTATTAGGCTGTATATTAAAAACTAGGGATATAAAATGAAAAGACAAAGCTCTTGCAAGAAATTTGAAATCAAGTGGAGACATTACTATGCAAACATGATTATAACACAATACATGAAATGGTAAGCTGGAGCCATGAACAGAGTAAAATAAGAGTGGATAAAGGTATTTCTAAATCTACATTGGAGAGGAGAATGTAAGGAAAAGGGTGCTTTATGTAGATTCTTTGGTTAGTAATATATAGCTAACCTAGGTCTAGGAGTGTTTGTTGCGGGATTCTTGAACAGAAAGATGGGACACCAAGGCTATAAGGAAGCAGCATTTGTTGATGCTGGCACTGGCTCAGTGGATTCTCATCCAAAGGCTGAGCCCCGATTGTAACATAACAGGCAGTTACGTCTTGTCATTCCTACACAGCTACAGATATAAGGAAGAACACTGATTGGTTGGCAAGCTATGAGAAAACCAATGTTAGGTGGAGAGTCCTTGGAAGGCGGGAGGCCGTTGGGAACGAGCAGGAAATGGCCAGGCAGGGTCAGGCTGCTACATATTAAGATATCTAATTCTCCCTTAAAATAATGTTTCTATGGTAAATATGCAGTTCTAAGCACAGCTGAATCCAGAACATAACCTCTGCTAACTCCTCTCACTATAGACATTCATATTTTTTTCCTTTAATTTCCCTGTGGTTTGATGCTGTTGAAACAAGCTCTCTCACAGAGGATGTGTTTTTAGCTTTGCGGGCACTGGTCCTTCTGAAAGGGAGTACTACTGTGGCAGTGAGCAAAAAAAAAGAAGTGTTTTTAGATTGGTCTGCAATTATATATTTTTCTCCTTGCTGCCAAATAGTTAAGTGGTATTTGTGCCATTTACTTAAAGCCTTTAACTGGTCATAATAAGAACTAGTATAATAGAATATATGTTATGAAATATGTAGCATGGTCTCTAAAAATCAAAATTATTTCCTAAATTGTTCCTTCTTCCATTTTGTATAGTAGCTTCATTATAGTCTCAGTCTGCTTCCAAGGATGTCTAATTGGCAGAGTGTAATTTGACTGTCTTTGGGGCTTTAATATTGATTTCCATGGACTTTTCCCAGCTAAATTGCACATTTTATTTATTACTCTTAGGATTGGTATACAACTTTTATCATTTATTTTTATCACTGATTTAGAAGAAAACTGGTTTCTGAAATATGAATGTCTTTGGCTTTAAAATATTAACTAGTTTTATTTTAAATATTCTAATGTTCTTAAAAATATGATAAGTAGCTAAAGCTTACTAAACAGCAACTTCACTATTTTACAAGGCCTCCAAGAGGCTAATTTATAACCGAGGAAGGCTGTGAATGCAATTTATCATTATCACTTTGTTCCATTAATCAGACACTACTGAGTTTTAGAGACTATCATAATTGGTCAGTAAATGTCCTACCATGTAAGTAAACAATTTCCTGTTTATCACCAGATCCTAGAACCCTATCGATATTGTCTGCTGTGTAAATAGCTCTGAGTAGTGCAATATTGCTTATAGGGTTTTGGTGTTTGGGAAGAACAATGGGCAGGCTGTAGAAACTGTGTAGCTGAAACTGAAGCAACAGTCATCTTTGATCGGGAAGAAAAATAATAGAAGCTAGTTTTCAATATAAATATTAAAATCTGAAACTTGAATGTCAAATTTTAATATATTAGAAAGAAACACTTTTCTAAATTTTAATATTTTGATAGACTAAACTTGGGTTTCATTTATAGTACAATGAAATAATGGAATTTCAGTGTTGAAAGGGACCTTAGATTTCCAACTTTCTCATTTAACAGGAGAGACCCAGAGAGATGGAGGACTTACCCAAGGCCACTTAGCTGGTTAGTGATACCAGGGCTAGAACGTCTGGCATGCATCCCAATCCTTGTATTTCCTTTTTTCTGTACCATACTACCAGGTTGTGTTTGGAGGGAATTTTTATGAACTAACTTCAGTGATATTAGATTAAAAAAAAAAGAACTGTTTAAATGAATTTTAGGTAGTCTTTACATTTCTCCCTGATCTATGTGATTTTTATTGGCTTTAATGTTATGTGGAACTTTGGTTTAATTACAGAAAAAACAGTAATGAAAATAGAACTAGAGGCAAGTCACAGACTGTTTCTTCATTTATAAGATGAAGGGTTCAGATCAGAGAATCTTGATGGTTTTTCTGCTTCTCAACATTTCATTGGCATCCTTTTTCCTTTTTTGTCCCCTGCTTAGGCCCATTGACTTCACTAATAAGTAAATACTTTCCCTATGTATTATCACAAAATACTCTGTTCAGTTCTTTATAGAGGATAATCTACTCTCAAGCTGTTTTTCTTGTCTTTTTAAAAAATTTTTATTTGTGTAAAATATGCATAACACAAAATTTACCATTTTAACCATTTTTAAATGTACAGTGCAGTGGTATTAAATACACTTACATTGTTGTGCAACCTTCGCTGCCATCCATCTCCAGAACTTTTTCATCTTTCCAAACAAACTCTGCACCCATTAAACAATAACTCCCATTCTCCCCTCCCCACATTACCCGGCGACTACCATTCTACTTTGTTTCTATAAACTTGAGTAGTTATCTCATATAAGTGGGCTCATACAATATTCGTCCTTTTGTGACTGGCTTATTTCACTTAGCATAATGTCCTCAGTGTTCATCCATGGTGTAGCATGTATCAATTTCCTTCTGTTTTAAGGCTGCATGATATTCCATTATATGTATATATCACCTTTTGTCAGTTCATCTGTAAATGGACCGTTGGGTTGCTTTTGGCTATTATGAATAATGTGCCTATAAACAGGGGTGTCCAAATATCTGTTTGTGTCCCTACTTTCAATTCTTTTGGATGTATACCCAGAAATGGAATTGCTGGATCATATGCTGATTCTACTTTTAATTTTTTTGTTTCCTGTCTTTTGAAGTCTGTTTAAAATTCTATTTATTTACTCAAGTATTTTCCAATTAGAAGCATGGACACATTACTTAAAAGAGGCATGGGAATTAAAAAAAAAAAAACTTTTGAAAGTAGTAGTATATGAATAAATGCAACTGTGCGGGGTGCGGCGTAAAAAGCCCTGAATTTTAGCATTTGCCAGTTTTCCTGGTGTAAATATTTCCACCCTGGCCAATTTCAAGCTACCACCATGATGTCATTGAAAGTGGAGTTGGGAAGGTATGTATAGTAGCACATGATATAGTATTTCCACTATACAGATATGGTAGACCTTAAGAGCATAGATAATAGTAAAATATAGTAAAATAAGTAGGAAGTTCTGATATTTGAGTATATGTTTGTATTTAATAACTTATTTATTGTAAATTTATATAATTTAATTTTTAGTAATGCCTGTGTTTAACAGTTGGCTTGCAAAAATTTTTGGAAATTTAGTAGACTCCATCGTACCATTGTTTGGAAGCACACTCCTTCATATCTTATTAGAATGTAAGTTACTGGAAAGTGGGAATTACTTCTTTTTGGTACGGTTTGATGATTTTAATACATGTGGACCCTCAGATATTACAAGAAGCCCTAGCTGAAACCACTCTCTTGAAAAGAAGACATTGTTAAATGAACTATGGGATTAGGCTAGTTAAACTTTAAGCAGAACTAAAATACCAAGTTAAGCATACACAGACTTAGGAATTTCTGGTTCATAAACAAGTTAAGGGCTTCTAGAATAGAGATTCTGTTTTAAGATAACTTTGAAGTCACAAATCTCATAATCTTAAGAATTTTGTGGTAACTTAAGTTTTAACAACTTTTATTTAAGATTATGCTTTAGAATGTCATATAAGACCTTGAATTATGTATAATACTATGAATTGTCATTTATTTTAATAATTTTTTAAAAAATCTGGTCTTGAACGCTTAGAGACTTTGTTTAATTTGATTTGCCAGTTCCCCTCTCCTCCTCCCCATACTCTGCATCCACATGTTATTATAGGTTAGTTCACTTTTTTAATATAAAGGCAAAAGATTACTTTGAACATATTCTAATTTGGGAAATTATG